GGGAGGCGCTGTTCTTATCCTCGGTGACTGTTCCCTGCATGGCACAAGGAGAAGCAGGTAAAGCAGAGGTTATGGACCCCTCCGAATGACTCACGGGTGTAAATAAACCAAAGTAAGACTTAACCACAGCTCTGCCTTCCTAATTAGATCTTGCTCAGAATGGTATTAAAGTTAGTTTGCATTCTCCAAGCACACATCAGCTGAGTGGCAGAGGGAAATAGCTGGGACTGTGCTAATAATGGAGAAAAGTCAAAGAACTGAAAATTGCTACAGATAACCCTCTGAAAAGACAAAATCTATTACACATGGGAAATGTAAAGTCAATTTTATGCCCCTGTACGTCCCAACGACACCTGCTTGTTATTATAGAGTTCCAAAGAGCAAAAATTTCATTTATCTGGAATTAGACAACCTCTAGCTCAATGGAAGCAGATGCCCCTCCCCACCAGGCCCAAGCAGTCTCTAGGAACAGTGATCCAGACCTGTCAAGACTGGGAAATGGAGAAACAGACAAAAAGAGAGGCTCAACGCTTTAATTCTAATATTTTTCCAAGTAGGTAGGGCTACCTCAGGGCAGCTTCTTGTAGGGAAAACATCAGGAAGAGGGTCATGGAGTTTCTGAAACCTCTCCTGACCCATCCACTCACCTGATGTCTCTTGATAATGTCTTTTAATTTCCCTAACAGTTTGGGTTCAATTTCTGAGCACAGAAAAATGTTAGGTCGAGACAGGCAATTATTCTGTGGGGAGAAGAAATAAATGGGATGAGGTCACAGGAAAAGGGTGTTTCGGATTCTCACTGAGGGAAGGGAGATGGATGCGGGAGGCTCTTGACAATTACCTGCACCAAGGACTTCTCAATGGTCATGAACATTTCCACATTGCGGTCCATGCGTGATGGATTCTGGAAATCGTAACGCCGCCTTGTGAAGAGGCAATAATCTAGTAAGTGGCAAAGCTCAAGACTGGGGACGAGGTTAGAGTATGTGACTTTTTTAACATGGGAAATTAGGAGGCAATCTTGCCTTCAGTTTTGCCAAAATCACCTGGGATCTGGGGTTCACTAATCTCAACTCCATGAATCACTTCATATTTAGTCCAAAAGGATGAAGAAAAGCTTGAGATGCCAACCTAAGAATCCCTTTTCCTCTCTAACACACATGCTGATGTACACACACACACATTCACTCATTCCTAGAGTCTATGTTGGTTCTGACTTCCAGCCATTTTTCTGACCTAGCAAGTCAGGCCTGCTGACCTAGCAAAGTAAGAGACTTGCGAGAATGTCTGTGCTCTCCCACCCCACAAAGACCCCAGGTAATCATTCCCTCTAAACTAAAGATAAGAAGCACAGAAGACAGACGAGAAGACATCTCACCATCCCTGGTCACTCTTGAATTTGTAGGCAGCTGCAAGTATGTGGCATAGGGAGCCCCCTGCTTTGAAATCTAGGAAACATTTGATCTACAAAATTGAGACAGAGAAGTATGTGAGAATTACATCCTGAATTGTCTTATGGCTTAACAATCTTTTAACAAAATCCCATGATGAACTGATCTCCCTCTGGAAGCTGGAATTCTTTAACCCCTGTGCCATTGTATCACGTGGCCTGGAAGAGGGGAGAAAAAGAAACCAATATTCGCAAAGCCCCGTCATGTGCCAAGCACTTTACTAGGTCACCTCCTTAACCACTACAGAAATGCTACAAGGTAGATGTATTATTCCCACCCAGAGATGAAGGACCAAGATTCAAAAGGTATAAACAGCTTGCCCAAGATTACAGAGATACCAAGTGGCACAAGCCTGTGCAAATCCAAATCTCACTTCTTTTAACCATTTCATGAGTTTCATGACTGTGCTCAGATACTCCAAGACAACCTGTTGCACAAAGTATTACTAGGACAAAGGGACTGGTAAACTGGGGACTCGGTCAAGCCAGTAATGCAAAGATGATGGTAGGAAATTATCCAAATCTCAAAATTTTGACATTTACAAAAACATAGAAAACAACTCTCTTTCCGGTTTGGAGGATTCACCCCCTTGCTTTTTGCACTCACCGGCAGTTTAGTGAGCGGTGCATTGCTGACATGTTTGCCAAAAACTTCTTCCTGAAATTGTAGTAACTGTACAACCAGGCTAGACAGGGACTTGTTGGTAGGTGGTTCAGCTTGTATATACTGGGGAAACAAGGGAGAGGAAAGAAAAATAGACCCCAGATCAGTCGTCCACCATCTTCCTTATCTCTTCCTCAGGAGCTCTGGAAGCATCTAGGGCAGAAGAAAATAGCGTCTTCTTTCCTGATGTGTCTAGTCTCTATAAAGAAAATGGCAGAAGGGAGGCTCTAGATGCCCCTCACCAGGAAGCTGAAATTCTGCTGCCCCCAGCCTAGGCGGCCAGTGTTGCGTGCCGGAGGTAAAGGCGGCTTCCTACTCTTCCTCAGCTACACCCTAAAAATGGGGTTCCAGGACCCTGATGTCTGAGGGGTGTAAAATTCTAAAGATTCGTGGACTTCAGAATGGAAGATGGAAGCAACATCTTCAAGGCTCTAAGCGAGACAACCGTCTGTTTCTTGGGGTAACTTTGTGGCAGGTCAAGACTCCCCCTATAATACAGCCTAATGAGGCAAGTGCAAGGAAGTAAGGTGGGGCGGACAGACGGAGAGTGAAGTGTACACTCTGCTTCTGCGAGGAACTGGACACAAAAGTCTTCAAAGGCCTTCCTAGGTGGGAAAGACCAGCTACTACCCAGCCTGGTGGGAAACAGCAAGGTAACATCTGTCATTTCTCAGGAAACTGTACCCGAGACAAGCAACCTTAAGCCTTCTTAAACATTTCCACAGTATGCTACTTAGCATCCTAGCCTTCTGTTCTCATTTAAAACTGAGCCAGGAAGCTAACTTTCACTTTACCTTTTGACACCTTTTTCCTCAACCCTAATCATAGAGAAAAGTGCACCTTTCAGTGGGAGGTGTAAAGAGATCCTTGAAAGAAAAGGTAAACGACAAAGAGCTAAAAGCTAGAAAGCTGAACCAGGTCACAGGCTGTCAATCCCCCGAGGCCAGAGATTAAGCCCCTAGACTGATCTTCCTTCCAAAAGGTCAAAGGTAAAAGTCTGGGAACCACAGTCTCACGCTGGGGAACAGACAAGCTACAGACCCAGCAGCTGTCTGTCAGGATCCTGACACCCAGAGAGACCTCCGAGAGCAGGGCCGGGTTCATAACCAGGATCAGAGGGGCATTCTCCTAAACCGCCCACCGCATTTCTGGCAGGCTGCAAAGCTGGGCAGGAAGAACTAGGTTGCGAAGGAAAGTCATAAAGAGAACCCCTAACTGGGGGTAGTGAGAAGGAAGAGAGATCATTTCCAGAGGAAAATTCTATGTAGAGAGATTCCCTTCAACCAGGCCTAAAGACAAAGACACCACCAGGAAGAGGTCTGGTAGAAAAGACAGGTAAGGCTTCTTGAACCCTTTGTTCATTACCTTATTATCTCCTGTTATGGGGTGGGGGTTTACAGACATAAAGCGTGTCTTAGCTTCTGAACCCCAAACCCAAGGCAATGCACGGCCAGGTGACGGGGTGACTTCATTGTGAGGCTGAGGAGTGGTTTAAGAAGGGGTCGCTGCCCAGGAACTCCTATACTCTGGTTCCCAAAGAGGTTCTGTTGCCCCTTGGACCGAGGTGGGGGACGAGCGGCAGACAGGTGATCCCGGGGTGGGGGCCCTTTTCAGGCTGATGAGCAGTCAAGGGCCTGCTCTGTGGCTGTTTACCCTCTTGCTTTCATCGTCTCTCTGAACACACACAAAGCACAGGGGAGGCCTCAGCCCTGCTGGTACCTGGCTCCGTGGGGAGCTCTGGCGGGCACCGTGGCGGGCACGCTGTGGGGCGGGGGGGGCATTCCGTCCGCCCCCGGCCGTCTCTCCCGGAAAAGCCCGGAAGGCGATGGTTTACAGGAGGGTGGGCAGCTGGCAACGGGACCCGCCGGGGCAGTGGAGAA